GCAATATTGGCTATGAATATATTCATGAAGCCACGGTACGGTTGGGGCTTGAATATCCCGCCACCTGGCGGAATATTCATCTGTCAAAAACTTATATTTGTGGTCACAGTGAGACCCATGCTAACCTTCCTATGGTGGATGAATCTTATTGTAGTCAGCTGGCCCAGTGGCTTACGTGCTGGCCTGGAGTTTTACGAGTCCCTTACCGCGAGTTCAAGCCCTACCCGTACCGTGGTTTGTTTGTAATCGTGTCATTACGATTTCGTGAGTCAACATGTTCATGCTAATGATGTACAGAATACCTTTAGCAATTACTGTCGGTCGTTGGAGGATATGGAGATTGAAAATTGGAGAAAATGAGATAAGAGGCGAGGTGATGACGGGAGAGGAATGTAAAAGGATGAGAAGGGAAGTGATGAGAGAAGGGAGGTCAAAGAAAGAGAAGTGATGCGGTGAGAAGAGAGGGGAAGTAGTGACAAGAGGGAGCAGAGTAAGGGGAGATGGAGAGGGCGGCGCCACACCGTAAATGGTGATGTCCAGACTGGTGGCACCATTGGTGACGTTCCCACTACCACCACTACCTGCCACCGCCACTTACCACCACCCCTTGCTACCACAACCAATGTCCTGAAACAATCCCGTGTATCTACCCCTTTTCCTTCCATCTACCTCTCTCCTTCCTTCCTTCCCCCATCTACTTCGATTCTCTCTCACATTATTCGATCCTACCCTTTCTCTCCCTCTATCTCCCACACTCTTCACCCTTCGATCCATCCCCAATCTCCTCCTCTCTTCCCTCCCTCTCCCCCCCCCCTGTACGCACAGCTCAGGCAGATGGTGTTACCATTATTCATCAATGCAGTGTGGTGTACCTGCCTGGTCAACACGGTGTCACCTGGTATACACCAGACCTCCCACACTCACATAGATGTGTTTGCAAGGCTCAATTCACAGCTGCTGGCACCGATTATACCTATACCTGAATCTGTATATTGTGTTTGTTTCCCCACCTCTTCTACTGGGGATTGTCTTCACCATTAGTTAAAGAAGGTTAGAAAGAGTTAAAAAGGTTAAAAAAGAAATATTATAAGACTTATTGAAAGAGGAAATATTAAAGAATTAAGAACTACTAAGGAGCTCACAAGAAAGTTAAGATATGTGTATACTGAATGTAACTAGAAGTTTGTAATAATTTATCTGTCATCTTACGTGTTTATGAAACTAAAAATATACAGTAATCCTACCATATTCCTCCCTACAAAAAAAAAATGAAAGGTTTCCATTTCAGACACTAGAGAGGAAGGTGGCCCGGTGGCCTGGTGGCTAAAGCTCCCGCTTCACACACGGAGGGCCCGGGTTCGATTCCCGGCGGGTGGAAACATTCGACACGTTTCCTTACACCTGTTGTCCTGTTCACCTAGCAGCAAATAGGTACCTGGGTGTTAGTCGACTGGTGTGGGTCGCATCCTGGGGGACAAGATTAAGGACCCCAATGGAAATAAGTTAGACAGTCCTCGATGACGCACTGACTTTCTTGGGTTATCCTGGGTGGCTAACCCTCCGGGGTTAAAAATCCGAACGAAATCTTATCTTATCTTACCTGGATGGTCTACCACCACAGGTTTCCACCTACCATCCTGTGGGTCAGCGGGCCGACAATAACAAGTCTGGTTGAAGAATTACACACATGTGCAACATCTGGGTATCTATATTTGTATACGTTTCCCCACTCAGTGGTTTTATCAATACAAATTCAAGGATATAATGGGAAAACTGGGTGACGAAACGTCTACAGATAAAGATACCCAGATAAATAAAAAAAAAGGTGCAATACCGCGATTGAAACAAGTCGGACCGAAACGTCGTCGTAAGCTCCTCTCTTCTATATGCGGGTTATTTGTGTAAGATACCCATCTTACACACGTGTCTAATTCTTCATCTTATCGGTATTGTATTCCATTCATATACAACAGTCTGGTTGATCAGGCAAGCACCAGACAAGCCTAACCCAGGGCCAGGCTGCGAAAGTAGGGAAAACCCTGGAAACCCTTCAAAGGTATATCACATGTACCCCGAGACTTAATTACATATTTCCCAACTTCATGGTGACAAGTGTGTTTTTAGTTATCATGTATGTCACGTGACCCTCTCCCCGTACCTTCAACACTCTCTCTGTATCCACTATCTAAATTAACCAATATTTTGTATGGTATGAGTCTCGTCCCATATCTATATACACACCCACTCCTGACATGTACCTCTTACATCCAGTCATTACATCCACCCAATCATTCTTACACTCACTCAATCATCCTTACTTCCACCCTATCATTTTTCACACCCACCCAATCATTCTTACACCCCTTTATTTAACCTCACACCCACCCAATCATTCTTTCACCCACCTAATCATTCGTTCACCCACCCAATCATCCTTATACCCACCCAATCATCCTTACATTCATCCAATCATCCTTACATGCATCCAATCATTTTTAAGCCCGCCCAATCATTCTTACACCCACTTATTTAACCTCACACTCACCCAATCAGCCTCACTCCCACTCATTCAGCCTGACATCTATTCATTAAACCTTACACCCACTCATTCAGCCTTACACCCACTCATTCAGCCTTACACTCACTCATTCAGCCTTACACCCACTCATTCAGCCTTACACCCACTCATTCAGCCTTACACCCATCCAATCAGCCTTACTTCCCATTAAAAAGACGACAGATTAATAACACTCATGAATTTTTCATAAGTGTAGCAGTGAACTGTACCAACATTTCTGACACAGCCTTAACCCCACTTGACTGTTAAGAACCACTGAGAGCATCCCTGTGCACTCTACCACAAGCCACACTTGTGGAACTATCTATTAAAAAATGCACAAAAACTATATCGATGAATGATTCAGAGAACCGACAAGTTGATGAATTAGACACATGTGCAACACTTGGGTATCTTTAAAGATACCCAAGTGTTGCACATGTGTCTAACTTATCAAAAACTATATTCCCGGCGTTAAATAACCTATGGAGGCGGGGCTTGATACAGGCATCGTCCCAATTTTTTTTAATTACTTATTTAGCCCCAGTCACAAGTCATATCAAACATATCCCCCACAATTCTACGTCTTTTCAGATAATGTAAATATAGTGTCTTCAGTCTATCTTCGTAAAAGAAGGGTCATTACACATGGGACTACATCATTCTTCTCTGCTTCTCAGCGAAGTTATATCCAATATAGAGACCAGAACTGAGTTGCATTATGCACAAATAACCCGCACATAAAAGACAGAAGCTTACGACGACGTTTCGGTCCGACTTGGACCATTGACAAAGTCACAGTGTGACTTTGTCAATGGTCCAAGTCGGACCGAAACGTCGTCGTAAGCTTCTGTCTTTTATGTGCGGGTTATTTGTGTATCGTTCCAGTCACGGTATTGTGCCTTTTTGTTATTTATTACTGAGTTGCATAATCTAAACAGGATTTTACTGAGGTTATATAACGTTGAAGTATAACCCCAGGATTTCTATTATTTATACTGCTTGATATGAAGCAGTGTTTTCCAGTCACAACCTCAACCCATGCAAATAATCCTGTAGTACCTCGGTGTCTTCAGAACTTAATTGGCGGCCAATTTTTGTGTTTACCTGGAGTTTACCTGGATAGAGTTCCGGGGGTCAACGCTCCCGCGGTCCGGTCTGTGACCAGGCCTCATGGTGGTTCAGGGCCTAATCAACCAGGCTGTTTCCTGGTAAATTAACATATATCAGTCTTCAGTTCCTGATCACCCGGGCTGTAGTGCTTACGTAGGAATACCTGCAGCGAGCACCAGCAAGCTCACTGATCAAGGTGGTTACCAGGACGCTGGTCACACAAGGCAGCTGGGACGATGATTCTTGAAACTACCTTCAGGTAACCAACCCACCCCACCCCCCACCTCCCACTGTCTCACAGCTCAAGCTGACAAATTTCGACACGATATATCAAACTCACCTTGTGTGATGGAACATATCTTTGCCTTTGATGAGTTCCGAGAGTTTTTCCACCTACCGGAGCCCGGCCGTGTGCCAGGCTCGTCTGGTGTAATGATCATAGCTTATTGAGGGAGACTCAGGGTGGCTCCCCACCATGTTAGGTTACGTTTAGCCTTTCGGCTCTCGTGTACTTTGTGCATGACATAACAGGAGAAACAGCTTTGATTAGCATTCTGTACTTATGATAACTAGTAAGGTAGCACAACACTGCTGTGTACTTACCATCGCCTCGCTGGTATGTACTTACATCGCCTCGCACACCAAGTGTCCGGACGACTGGTGATTCATTCCCTGTCATCAGTGGAAACATTGGGCATGTTTCCTTACACCTGATGTCCCTATTCACCTAGCAGTAAATAGGCACCTGAAATATGTCTAATTCTTCATTTTGTTGGTATTGTATACCATTCATATATGAGTAGGTACCTGGGTGTTAATCGAATGTTGTGGGTCGCATCCTTGGGGACAAGATTAGAAGACTCCAATGGAAATAAGACAGAGTTCACGATGATGCACTGACTTTGAGTTATCCTGGGTGGTTAACCCTCAGGGTTAAAAATCCGAACAAATCTTATCTTAAATCTTATCACAGTAACTCCCAACATTCCCACTCCCTCAGCAACACACAAGTCCACATCCTCTCTCTCCACATACTAACCCCCCCAGCATCACCCCTGGAGTGTAGACAACTCTGCAAGTGATCAATAAGAGTGAGCATCTAACTGAAGAGGTATATACCAAGGAAGAGTTGTAGGAAGGGGATATGAGGGGAGGCTCCCGCCAGGTTATGGTAAACACATGGAAAGGTGAGGGAAGAGGGGAGACAGATGCAGGCAAGAATAAGAAAGTATAGAATTGTGGGGAGGGAATGGAGAACACCAGAGAGAGAGAGAGAGAGAGAGAGAGAGAAAAGAGAGAGAGAGAGAGAGAGAGAGAGAGAGAGAGAGAGAGAGAGAGAGAGAGAGAGAGAGAGAGAGAGAGAGAGAGAGAGAGAGAGAGAGAGAGAGAGCATAATAGCAACCGCACACTGAGGTGCCCAAAAGGAGGGAAAACTCACCCACACTAGTCATAAAAAGAAGGAAAACATTCTTAGAATATAAGCCACATGACAACTTACTGGCAAGACAGCTATTAAAAGAGTGATGGCGAGTATTTTGCTTTTTATGGTCACTACCTTGGTAGGAGGCGGCTGGTGGTAGGAGGCGGCTGGTGGTAGGAGACGGCTGGTGGTAGGAGACGGCTGGTGTTACAAGAAACAACCTTACCATTAACACGACATATCTGCACCGTAATTCCTCCCTCCTTCACTCTTCCATTTTAACTTACCTGGAAAAGATAAAAAAAGGAAAAAATATTAATTTAACTGTTGAAATTAAAAAAAAAAAAACTTAAGCAGGCACTTCTGGTGGCAATAACTAACTAGCACATTCATAATCTGAGTAAACACAAGTTGTTTGATTATTAAGTACAAGTCAGTTGATGACTGCAAAAACAGGCGAGCTGATTCCTGTATATACAAATCAGCTGCTCCCTGTAAACACAAGTCATCTGATCATTATAAACACAAGTTAGTTGATTAGTGACAACTAACGTCAGCCGACAAATAAATGTCAGCTGATCAGTGTCAACAAACCTCCGTTGATCAATGTCAACATACATCAGCTGACATATGTTGACATACGTCAGTTGAGCGAACTGCTCAGTATCTTCAAATTTGAGGTAATAGCTGTTATAGAGGCACCAGTGAATTAAAAAACCCAGGATGGATAGCACTCGCACCACCCATCAAAGTCAGGGAATAAGTGCTAAGAAGACCACAAACCACTTGGACTCAAGAAGACTCTGCAATCCAGGACAACATGGGTTTAAAGAAGGTTGCTCTTGTCTCACATAGTTGCTGAAACATTATGGCAAGTGTTGTATACACCAGAAGAGCAACAAAAATCACCAACTTTATGTTAGAAGAGAGTTAAATGAATCTGAATTTGACAGGAATGGACGTAGAAGCTCCTGCTACTGTTACAGTGGCTGTAGCAGCTACTGTTACTTCTACTGCAGGAGCTGCAGCTGCTGGTGTTTCTACTGCAGTAGCTGCTTCTGTTACCGCTGCAGTAGCAGCTGCTGTTGCTTCTGTTGTTTCTACTGCAGTAGCCGCATCTGTTGTTTCTACTGCAGTAGCCGCATCTGTTGTTTCTACTGCAGTAGCCGCATCCGTTGTTTCTACTGCAGTAGTTGCAGCTGCTACATCCCACGATGCTTGGTGATCGTAGGATTGTTGGCACCACCTCTTACACCGGCTGAATGTATGACGTCAACGTCTTGAGTTCTTCGTTGTATAACATTATGTTTAGAAGATGTGACCAGAATATTTATTGTGCCAGTATTGCCGTTGTATCTAAGACAACCTATCTATAACTGACACTGATCAGCTGACTTTTGTTCATAGTGGTCGGATGACCTTTGCTGACAGTGGTCAGATGGCTTTTGTTGATACTGGTCAGCTGCCTTTTGTTGAGTGGTCAGTTGACTTTTGTTCATAGTGGTCAGCTGACATTGGTTGACAGTGGTCAGCTGACTCACCTGTTTTTCTACTTAATTTCCGGATTTCCTGCCTACTTAATGAACCACCAATCTATTTACCTAACAACTGATCTACTTACCAATCTACCTACTTAGCTACCTACCTACAGGATGGATATGGAGTGCACAATAAACTAGCCGCTAACCTCCAGTGATCAGAAAACACCAACTGATGTCAACAAATGTCAGCCGATCAGTGTCAACTAACATCAGCTGATGTCAGGACACCCGTCGACAGTTTCAATATTATTTATCTCTATTCTGGTAGTCCGTCCCGAGGCTAACGAGGATAAAAAAAATTAGGTAACGAAAGATTGGCTACCAGTATGAAGTATGGAGGAGGTGAATGTATTCAGATATTTAGGAGTGGACGTGTTAGCAGATGGGTCTATGAAGGATGAGGTGAATCATAGAATTGATGAGGGGAAAAAGGTGAGTGGTGCACTGAGGAGTCTGTAGAGACAAAGGACTTTGTCCTTGGAAGCAAAGAGGGGAATGTATGAGAGTATAGTTATACCAATGCTCTTATATAGGTATGCAGCATGGGTGGTGAATGTTGCAACAGGCTGGAGGCAGTGGGGATGTCGTGTCTGAGGGCAATGTGTGGGGTGAATACAATGCAGAGAATTTGTAGTATGGAAATTAGGAGGTGCGGGATTACCGAGGAAGGGTTGTTGAGGTGGTTCAGACATGTAGAGAGGAAGGAACAAAATAAAATGACTTCAAGAGTGTATAAAACTGTACTGGAGGGAAGGCAGGGTAGAGGTCGGCCTAGGAAAGGTTGGAGGGAGAGGGGTAAAGGAGGTTTTGTGTGCGAGGGGCTGAGACTTCCAGCATGCATGCGTGAGCGTGTTAGAAGCGAATGGAGACAGATGGTTTTTAGGACTTGACGAGCTGTTGGAGCGTGAACATGGTAATGTTTATGAAGGGATTCAGGGAAACGGCAGGTAGGACCTGAGTCCTAGTTATGAGAAGTACAGTGCCTGCACTTTGAAGGAGGGGTGTTAATGTTGCAGTTTTATAACTATAGTGTAAGTGCGTCTCTGGCAAGACAGTGGAGTGAATGGTGAAAGTTTTTTTCGGGCTACCCTGCCTTGGTGGGAAGCGGCCGATGTGTTCATAATATATACACACACACTATATATATATATATATATAATATATATATATATATATATATATATATATATATGTGTGTGTGTGTGTGTGTGTGTGTGTGTGTGTGTGTGTGTGTGTGTGTGTGTGTGTGTGTGTGTGTGTGTGTGTGTGTGTGTGTGTGTGTGTGTAAAACTTGCGGTTTTGGCTTAAATAGCAACGCTCTTCTTGCTGAATAAGGCAAGCGAAAAATTTGTTTATGCAATAATTTCGTAAAAATCATTCTGAACTTAACGAAAAAAATATATTTCATTGAGTTTGTTTATTATTAAATTATTGTAAACGTATGTAAAATATATTTAGCTGAATTAGACTAAATTAAATTTCGCGTGTTATAATAAGGTTAGGTAAGTTTTCTAATGTCCTTTTGGTACAAAACAATTAATTTTTACATTAACATAAACGAAAAAATATATCTTTAAACGTATAAGAGAATTTTTTTAGAAAGGACTTAATTTCAAATGAGTTCTTGATAACTGACCAGTTTTACCTATATATATATATATATATATATATATATATATATATATAATATATATATATATATATATATATATATAATGTCGTGCCGAATATGTAAAACTGGTCAGTTAGCAAGAACTCATTTAAAATTAAATCCTTTCTAAATTTTCTTTGATACGTTTAAAGATATATTTTTTTCATTAATGTTGATGTAAAAATTTATAATTTTGCATCAAAAGGAACTTAGAAACTTACTAACCTTATTATAACAAGAACAATTTATTTTAGCCAACCCAACTAAATATATTTTAGATTTGTTTACAGTAATTTAATACTAAACAAACTCATGAAATATATTTTTTTCGTTAGATTCAGAATGATTTTGGCGAAATTATTGAATACACAAATTTTCACTTGTCCTATATGGCAAGATGAGCGTTGTTATTTAAGCCAAGATCGCAAGTTCTGCCTATTCGGCACGACATATATATATATATATATATATATATATATATATATATTATATAATATATATTATATTAATATATTCAACAAGTCGGCCGTCTCCCACCGAGGCAGGGTGACCCAAAAAAGAAAGAAAATCCCCAAAAAGAAAATGCTTTCATCATCATTCAACATTTTCACCACACTCACACATTATCACTGTTTTTGCAGAGGTGCTCAGAATACAACAGTTTAGAAGCATATACGTATAAAGATACACAACATATCCCTCCAAACTGCCAATATCCCAAACCCCTCCTTTAAAGTGCAGGCATTGTACTTCCCATTTCCAGGACTCAAGTCCGACTATATATATATATATATATATATATATATATATATATATATATATATATATATATATATATATATATATATATATATATATATATATATTATATCGTGCCGAATAGGCAGAACTTGCGATCTTGACTTAAATAGCAACGCTCATCTTGCCATATAGGACAAGTGAAAATTTGTGTATTCAATAATTTTGCCAAAATCATTCTGAACCAAACGAAAAAAATATATTTCACTGAGTTGTTTAGTATTATAAATTACTGTAAACAAATCTAAAATATATTTAGTTGGGTTAGACTAAAATAAATTGCGCTTGTTATAATAAGGTTAGGTAAGTTTTCTAAGATTCTTTTAGTGCAACATTATAAATTTTTACATTAACATTAATGAAAAAAATATATCCTTAAACGTATAAGAGAAAATTTTAGAAAGGACTTAATTTTAAATGAGTTCTTGCTAATTGACCAATTTTACATATTCGGCACGACATATATATATATATATATATATATATATATATATATATATATATATATATGCAATAAGATCACAGTAAACAGGTGATTTCAGAATATGCAAAACAACCACTCTGAAAGAATAGAGAAATTCCAAGCGCTTTCGTGACTACTCACATTATCAAGTTCCTTGATAATGTGAGTAGTCACGAAAGCGCTTGGAATTTCTCTATTCTTTCAGAGTGGTTGTTTTGCATATATATATATATATATATATATATATATATATATATATATATATATATATATATATATATATATATATATATGAACATACGAAATTTAAGACTTAAATGGAGCGTCAATTATGAGGTGGGGGAAAGATGGGGAAGGGGGTATATTGGGAGGGAAAGGGAGCAGCATCCTTCAAAGAGCAACAAACGAGGCACTACAGTCGCTTGCTTCAACAAACAAACACACACAGACACTTGATGATAGTTGCATACCTTAGCCCGGTGAGAAGTGAGGGAGGAGACAAGGGAGGGAACGGAGGTAAAGGAAGGGAACAGAGGAAAAGGGAGGAAAGAGCAAGGGAAAATGGAGAGGATATGAAAAGGGAGGAAATAGCAAGGGAAAATGGAGACGATACGAAAAGGGAGGAAAGAGTGAAACGCACAATAGAGAAAGAAGGAAGAAAGAAGGAAAGAGGCGATGGAAAGAGAGTAAAGAGGGAGGGGGTAAAAGAGAGAAAAAATATAGGTATCTGAGGGTTGGGTAAGCTGGAAAAAGTAGAAAGGAAGCGAGGAGAAAGGCAGTGGAGAAACAGGGACAGAGAAACGATGGGTGAGGGAGAGAGATGAAAAGTGGGGG